GCAACAAGCAGGGAAAGCCTTGGCAAAGATCCCCTGGAGAGGCTCAGCCCTGCCTGCAGAGAGCTCGGGACAAGGGGGACAGGGAAAGCTGGAGAGGGGGGCGCCAGGAGCTGCTGCCTCAGCTGCAGGCAATGGGCACGGCTGGGAAGGGAAGGGACCAACGGCAATCCCATAAAACACATGGGAATCCCATAAAACACACGGGAACTGAGCAATGGGAATCCCATAAAACCCTTGGGAACGGAGCAATGGGAATCCCATAAAACACACGGGAACTGACCAATGGGAATCCCATAAAAACCTTCACAGCTCACAGGGAACTGAGCAATGGGAATCCCATAATTCACATGGGAACTGACCAATGGGAATCCCATAAAACAGATGGGAACTGATCAATGGGAGTCCCATAATACACACAGGAACTGAGCAATGGGAATCCCACAAAACACACGGGAACTGTGCAATGGGAATCCCATAAAACACATGGGAACTGACCAATGGGAATCCCATAAAACAAATGGGAATTGACCAATGGGAATCCCATAAAACAGATGGGAACTGAGCAATGGGAATCCCATAAAACACACAGGAACTGACCAATGGGAATCCCATAAAAACCTTCACAGCTCACAGGGAACTGAGCAATGGGAATCCCATAATACACATGGGAACTGAGCAATGGGAATCCCATAAAACAGATGGGAATTGACCAATGGGAATCTCATAAAACAAATGGGAACTGAGCAATGGGAATCCCACAAAACACATGGGAACTGTGCAATGGGAATCCCATAAAACACATGGGAACTGAGCAATGGGAATCCCATAAAACACACGGGAACTGACCAATGGGAATCCCATAAAACACATGGGAACTGAGCAATGGGAATTCCATAAAACACATGGGAATCCCATAAAACCCTTGGGAACTGAGCAATGGGAATCCCATAAAACCCTTGGGAACTGAGCAATGGGAATCCCATAAAACAAATGGGAATTGACAAATGGGAATCCCATAATACACATGGGAACTGAGCAATGGGAATCCCATAAAACACAGGGGAACTGACCANGCTCCCTGAATCCTCTCTGTGGAGGGAACACCCCCAGAAGGGACAAGGAAGGAGCTGGGGTGGAACAAGAGCTGGCACATCCCGTCCTGTCGCTGCTGGCACCGCGTTGTTTACCCAGGGAAGGACGAGGAGCAGGAGCTGAGAGCTCTCCAAATCTCCAAATGCCTGTGCTGGGGGCTGGGAGATGCCCTGGAGAGCCTCTAAAAGCCCCCAAATCCTCCCTTCTGACAGCAATGAACCCCCTCAGCCACCCAAAAAATCACAGTGGAGCGCAGTGACTGTGTCAATTTTTAACTTTTTTTTTCTTTTTTTTTTCCTCCTTAAAGATGACTCCGATTTACATCGAGACAGTTCTAACAAATTCATTCCTTGTTTCACAAAAAAAAAAAAAAGAAATTATATTAAATAATTTCTGCCAATAAATAACATTTTCACCATTTTTTTTTCTCCTTTCAACAGAACTAAAAAAAAAAACAAAACAAAACAAAAAAAAAGCAAGAAATAAAAATAAAAATTAAAAAGGAGGCAGTCTCCAGGCAACGGGCGTATGATCCTTCAGCATCGAGAACCCTAAAATCACCATCACTGCACCCCTGGAGGGCTTCAGGTCCTCCCTGGCCGAGGTTTGGTGGGATCTGCATCCCTGCCAGCTCCCCTGGCCAGGTGGGATCTGTGCCAGAGGCAGCCAGAGGGGTTCTCCCAATCCCAAAAAAGAAAATTAAGCTTGAACTCAACCCACCACCCGCCCCATTGCCGACTCCCCTCCTTGGACATGCACCTTGCTAGAACATGCAAAAAAACCCAGGCTGCGGGGAGGTGGGGGCTTTCCCTGGATTTGGGGGCTCCCTCGGCTCGGGGGGTCCCCTCAATCCCGGATGTCCAAGCTCCAGGTGGCAGCCGGGGAGGGGAAGGGACGGGCGGGAGCTCGGAGAGGAGGGGTCAGAGACAAGCCCAGCCCCGAGGTGCTGGATTTGGGGATTTGGGGGGAAAAGGAGGAAAAGGGGGAGTTTGGGGGCGTTTCTGGATTGGTGTTTTTTTTTTCTTTTTTTGGTTTGCTGTGGTGGGGATCGGGGCAGGGAATTCTGCCCCCAAGTTGTCCCCAAAAGAGGGGAGGGGGGATCTCGGCTGGGGGCGGTGGCAGGGGAAGCCCGGCATGGAGAGGGGGCGTTAATTAATTGAGGGGGTAATTAGCACCCAGAGCCCCATCGCTGCTCCTCACCCCCTCGGGAAGTGCTTCAAAGGGAACAGGGGAGCTGGCAGTGTGACAGCCACACGTGTGGGTGCCACAGGGACACAGGGACAACACCCAGCCCTTGGCCACCGTCTCCAGGGTGGCACAGTGCAGCTCCAGGGATAAGGGGGGATAAAAATTCCACCCCTTGGCCACGTTCTCCAGGACCAGGACAATGAACATCCAGCCCTTTTCCAGAGCTGGGACACTGGGAAGCTGCAGTTCCACCAGCTCCAAGAATCATTAGGGGGTGGGATCTGAGCCCCCAAACCATGAAGCACAAAGACCAAAAAGATTTTGAGGAGGGGGAATTGGTGATGCCAGAGCAGGAGAAGAGGGTGGGGGGACAAACTGCCAGCAAAGCAAATCCCCCTGTGTGATGGGCAGGGCCCTGCTGACCCCCCCACGCTGGGAACAGGGGGGTGCCAGGCTCGGGGTCCCGCAATTCCCATCCCAAATATCCCGACTAAAACCTGGCTGGCTTGGGTGAGATCCCAGCCTGGGTCAGCACAACACGCCCGAACATGCACGGGCAGCCCTGGGTACCACACACGGGCTCACCGCTCACAGGAGGCCCTGAAAGGACAAAGAAATACTCACAGACAAAAGGCAATTTGGCCCCACTCCTCGGACTGGGGGGAGAGAAGCTCGCTCCAAACATCTCGCAAAGCGGTGGGCGTGGAAAATAAAAAGGGATCAAAGGG